CAGCCTCGAGTATGCCACTCTTAAAGAACTGCCACTTAGATTCCACATCAGTGTTCATTACCGGGATCTATTCGAACCGTCATGCAATTTTGTTTGCAAATTTCGCTCTCATCTCCACCGAAGATAATGGTTCCCATTTGGTTCGGTGATTGCTTCTGACACCAGATCTTCTTATGGTACTCCATTTTTACAGTCTAGCGTGCCAACAACAAAGTGATAATTAGTTGATAGCTCTGCGCCTCTTTTAATGGGAACGTCCATTACTGAGCGTCCTTAATTAGACGATGCGATTACCAAATCGATCATCGACTTATGTGCACAAGCTCCCCGATGCCAGGAATATTGCTGCGCTCTTCGCTGCTCGAAGAAGGTGTTCATAATGGACAATCCGTTGTTTGCACGAAACCGCAACAACTCCATGCCGTTATTGTTGACGTCGCTAGAGCCGTTTTTCCCAATCACGCCGTTACATTTTTCAACGTCTACTCCGACTTGCGCATTAAAATCGCCCGTCAGTATGAGGGACTGTGTATTCGGCACTTCGGACAGAGCACACTGCACTTCCTCAAGGAAGGTCTAATATTCTCTTTCCAAATTGGGCGCATAGACCTGTACCAAGGGCAGAGCTTTAGCCGTTGTAGCTTCAGCCAAAGGATTACCACCCTTCCGCTGACAGGCTTCCAGTCAATGATTCTCCCTACGAGGTTGGGTTCTACCAGAATACCAACATCAAGCTGAGAGAGAGGTGTGCCATCCACGCCTGAGTAGAATGGTTTCCACCAGCGGAAGTTCAGGATTCCAGAGCCTTCGCGTTTCGTTGACGAGAGTCTAACCATGTCGAATTGGTAACTTTGTGGCCTCATCAATTAACACTTTTCCTTTCCTTCTGAGTGACGATATATTCCAGCTTCCGACTGTAAGCTCCCATTGGTGGTTTCTTCTCGTGCAGCCTTTTCTGACGTGCTATAATGGCATTGCGTTGTCTGCCTTTTTCGTTCAGAACGGGTGACGATTCCGTTGTTGACTGGAACCTTTGTGGTCGTTCCGTATGTCTGTTTCTCTGCAAATACCGGTTGAACAAAATTTTCAGTGCACCTTTTCATATCTTTATCTTCATCTTCCATCGCCGCTTTTCCTTTCGGGTCGAGAACCTTTTAATATTTTGTGCTTAAATGATGTCACCATTCTATCCTACACGTTTGGGATGGTCGTCACGCACATTTTAAACACATTATTTCTTATACTGAACGTGAAGACAGTAAATCATGTTTCCTATTGTGCTGTCACGGTCTTTCAATCTTTCAAAACGGCAAATATCATCCAAAGAGGCAGGATGAACAATGAAATGTCATTTTACGATTGGGGATGTTACTGTACTACGAATCGTTATTGTATTACTTTCATATCTGTTGTACAGTGCTTTAAATGTAATCTAAAACAATAAAGATAACACATAAAACTTACAGATTATCGACAAATTAGTAGTGGCAATAATTATGCATTATGTTAAGTTTAATAGTTTGCTAAAAATGTAATACAATGAATTATAGCTGCAAATAATATTTACAGTGGTTTACTGAAATTTACTACATAAATTAAAAAGAATTTTAAATTGTCAATAAAAGTTTTTCATTTACAGTATGATGATGAACGCGATACTTGATTCTCGTACAATTGTCTCGTGTACAGTCGGTACCGTAAAGTTGATCTAAAGTTTCTATGAACGGGAAAATCAGATTTCCATTTTAAATGCAGTGACAGTGTATCAGGGAAAATTTTTCAGCCACGGCAAGGAAAGAGTTTTGGTACTCTAAATATAGTGCACCTTAATCCATTATCGTATTTATGGCAGTAAATACACATATAGCCACAGCGAATTTTTTATATAGTAGCAGTAGTGTATCATTAAGAAACTTTTAGCAGCTACAATGCCATAGGTGTTGTTTATATGTAGTGCATTTAATATATGTATAAACGTATACGACAATACGACAGTGCATAGGTGGTACATAAAATGCGCAACGAGTTGGGGTAAAGTGAACAGTAGAAAAGAAATTGGCTTCGAACTCCGGAGTTTTTTTAGGAAAAGATATCAAACAGTGCAGAATAATCCACAATATAAAAAGCACAGGTAAATACCAAATGCATCAGCGACCTTTCAGTGCCAAAAGTGGAAGATGTTTCATCAGTTGGATGTAGCGTTTGGTTTAGAACCTAAGTAGATTCCCCATTGGAGTAAGAAGCACCTTAGCGCATTGCTGAAGACTTGGTTGTGCCTTACAAACTGTTCACTATTTGGCTTAATGTTGCTGCCTGAGCATAGATCCAATTTGATCTGAAGTTTGGAAGAACATGTACAAATTGAACATTATGTAGCATCATCTCGAGGAGAAATTTTGCAACTTCAAAGCAAAATATTGTTTGCCATACAATTATAGTCTCGTCAACATCAGAGTCATTTCATAAGTTAATTTTTTCATGCCTTCCATGCGTTGGAGGGAGCGGTAGCAAAGTGTCAAAGATTTCAAATTTTAACCTTTAAGGTGCCCGGTCCAAATGCAGAAAAGTCTGTCCTCATCTCTATCATTAATTCCCTTAAACAAAATATTGGCCCCAGGCTGCTTCAGTCCAACCAGCCAAGAAAAGAGTAGCAAATCACTTGATTGAACAACAGGAATGGCATGGTACTATAGTGTGATCGCACTCTAATGAGAAAGACTGCGGTCTTGCTTTCTAATCCAGTCGTCTCCTGCGTTCGCATTTCGCCAAATCCTGCCAGATAGCTCTCTGTCCGGTATAATAAACACACAAGGTGTAATCAAGGAAAAAATGGAAAGCGATGATTGCAGTATCCGCATTGAAAACCACAAAACTTCATAGGATGGTCACAAAGTATTTGTCAGCATCATCAATAAAGAAAAGTAGCATTTGGTGTCGTTCTGCTTGAGATATGCATTTAGTAAGACCAATGAACGTCGCTTCAACAGAGCAAATCCAAAGATCAGAACTGCTAATCAGAAAATCATACCACAACTTGGTAAACAAAAAAATGTGTATCGGATGTAGAAAACTGGAGGAAGAGACCGACCGGATAATTGGAGTAGCCAGTGGCGTTCTGCGTGAACTAGCCCCACCCAATGTGACTAAAGCAGAGCTCAGTCTGAAAACTAAGCTCTCAATATTCAAGTCGATCTTTATCCCC